ATTGACTAAAATTTATGAATTCAAAAGCTTGAAGTTTTCATGTTTGGTGTGGAATAAGGTATAAAATTGGCACATTCATAAAGTTTGCACATAGATGATTTTCAATAAGCACATATTGCAGAGATACAATGAATTGCAGAGGAGTTGATATGTTTGCACACATTTGAAGCACTTGCAAGTTTCTGTATTGGAAGTGTCGGATAGTCACCAACAGACTAATTAACAGTGTCACTATTTTTATTCGGGTTTGCAGGTCGACGATTTTTGAATTTTCTTCCTTCACTAGCTCGACTGGCTAGCTTCCTCAGAGGTTTATACACCTTGAGTTCAAACCCGAATAAAAGCAGTGAGACTGAAAACCTCAGCTGCGAAAGCCTTAACAATTTTGTCAGACTATTTAAGACTCACATCATTTTAGTTGCCCGAATTTTTATTTTTCCAGTGTTGTCTTCTCTTCAAATGTTTGAACCAATAGTATAATCGAATAATGGAAAATGTTAGGTGCATCACTGAAGTAGCGAAAGCCTCGAATAATTCGGAATCTTCTACTATCTATCTACTATCTATCTATCTACCGCGCCTCTCCGATTCTTTGACTTCTTATTTTTCGAAACTATATAAGTACTTCCTATTCAATTTCCTCTACGAATTCAAATTGAACTAATGATATCATAGTGTTAATGATAGTGTTAATGAACGCACTGTTCGACGTTGGTTTGAGAAGTTTCGTTCCGGAGATTTTAGCTTCGAAGCTACATATTCGTGAATGTTTTCTCATTATTATCGTTTGATTGTGATATATTGAGGTTCATAAAACACCATAACGAACTTTGAAATAGACTGATGTGATATACATATGTTTTCAAGTGTAGATATATAGTTCAAGATTGAATTTTCCTATGAAAAATCCTTGGACAAGTATAGGTATAGTTCAAGTAAACGATATAGTGCAACCTACTTTCCAACAGCTTCCCTTTATTAATATAGTAAGGGAGCTAACTAATTTCTTCATTCAATAATAATTTCTGATTATATAAGAATCACAGTAACTATATATAATATATATAATGAATATTTCTTTTATATAAGTGAGTGGGAAAGTAGGGATTCAAATAACAGGGTGATAATTGAAAACACTTCTGAATACTTCTTACTCACTGACATGCTCAAGGTTGCCCCTTTCCTCTCATGCAGACCTACGACTTCATAAGTACGTATGGTAGATATCTAACGGAAAAACAACTAAGCCAACTAACCCATATAATCGATCGCTTCAAAAACACTTACTAACTTCCTTCGAAAGCTTATGATAATTCCTCTTCCATATTCTCTGTTTCACTATCACTGTCCTCTTCTATTTTCTCTGTTTCACTATCACTGTCGTCATTTAAATCAATAATGAATTCATTTCCACCATCAATATGGAAGTGTCCAATCTCCATATATATATAGTCTTTTTCAACTAAAATTACTTTTTTAATCCTTTTCTTTTTCGGTAATATCAGCTACTTTAATTTAATTAGCTCTATTACCTTCTTATCTTGTTTTTAATCGAGGACTAGGATTTGAGGACCTTGGTGAAGACTGACCCATCACAAACGATGCGTGGGATGGCGAAAGAACTGGGTGTCAGCTCCCATGCGGTGGACTAGTTCGCTGCTGGATCATTTCTATGTATTGGTTTTTTTGGCCTTTGAGACTGCCGCCAATTTTGGGTGTGCAAAATATCGTTTACTTAGACTATACCTAATCTACAAGGGCACAAAAGTAATATGTATAAGGAAATTATTATGAGGAGTTTTACAGAACAGTCGAAAAGAAGTAAGTGAAAAAAATTGATTTAAAACATATCCATCGATTGAGGAAAAAGACACCTTTGAAAGATATTCTATACCGATTGTCAGTGGCGGATTTGAGGGGCTCAAAGACCAGGGCCGGTCTCGTAATCAGAAGCATTAATATTTCCTAGCTGCATTACAGTAAAAGTTGAATGAACAATTTGAAATACATTTTCTGGGTCATTATCAATAAAATAATTCAGTTATAGTACCTATATACAATATAAAAACCGTATTTTTATACATTTATAGTATATAGGCATATATGTATTATGTAAATAGAAATACTTTCAAAACAACGTGGCAACTATACTTCAGCACTAAAACACATATTTACGTCTGTTCCATTTGTTTTGACAAAAGAAAATTACCGAGCTCTTAAAAACACGTCTGAAGCTGAAAACTTTTCATTTATTCATTCATCCATTATTATTTTTCCTCTTCGAAGTAGTCTCCCTCAGATATAATACACTTGTGCCAGCGTTTTTTCCCATCCTTGAAGCAGTTCTAATATGTAATATGTAAAACGCCGTACCTTCAAGGGTCTCTTCAATCTTGGGAACAGGAAAAAGTCGCAGGGGCCAAATCTTGAGAATACGGTTTCTGATGAGGCATGATTACGATTATGTATTTGTCAAAAAACTACGAGCAAGCAATGACGAATGAGCAGGTGCATTATCGTAATCAAAAGCCATGAAATATTTTTCCACAATATTGGATGTTTTCTTCGTATTGCTTCTCGCAAGCAGTACATAACTTCAAGATAATTGACCGAACGACCATGTGGCAAGAACTCCTGATGCTTGGTCTACTGCGCCTACTGGAAGCAAAGACCTTAAAAGAAGAGGAGAAGAACTCCTGATGCACTATGCCACGGTAATCGAATGAAACTCTGAGCAAAATCTTGGCATTTGATCGAACTTTGCGTGCTTTTTTAGTTTTCCCTCTTCTGAGTCCTTCTATTGGGACGATTCGACTTTGGTTTCGATGTCATAATCATATACCCAGTTATGACCCTTTTAAACAAATCTCGATCACCTTCGACGTCATTCAACATCTCTTTTGATCAAAATTTAGTAATTTCGGAACGAACTCTGCTGCCACACGCTTTATGCCCAAAATTTACGAAAAAATTGCATGGCATGAGCCATCTGATATTCCGACATCCTCAGCAACTTTTCTAATAATGATTCGATGATTCTCCATAATAATTTCCATAATTTTCTCATTATTTTCATCGACTGTTGATGTGCTGGGGCGTTAAAGGCGAGCGTCGTCATTCACATCTTCTCGACTTTCTGTGAAAATCTTGTACAACATTTTTCTGACTCAGAGTACAATCATCGTATGCCGCTGTCAACATTTCATGTGTTTTTGAGCACTTGATTCCATTTCTCACACAAATTTTAATGAAAAATTATTTTATCAATTTTTTTTCGGAGGCGCAGAAACTCGCCGAACACGCAGAACACTGTTAACTTTTATGCCTTTCAAGAACAAACCTAACATGCTAAACAGTTGAAACTATGAACATATATCGAAGACGAGTGTACTAACATGAAAAAATCGCGAATCGAATGTACATCGCCCGCGAAATTTGAACATTCGCCTTAATTTTTTAACAGACCTTGTTTGTGGTACCTATCTATATAGATACCGAATGTCTCATATCGGAATTGATATTTAATCAGTAATAGGCAAAATCGGCTTCTGATTAAACCAATAGTTCCGAACATATTTTTTGAAAAGTGTTCTGTTCAATATTCATTAAGATAAGAATATTTGATACCGGCAACCTGCTTACGGGCGTCGATAAGAGTATTACGGTTCTGGTATGTGATAAAAGATTTTTATTGGATTCATTCTATGCCAAAGAATCCAAAGTGCCTAAATAGAAAAATCTTGACAATCTTGAGTTTATTTATTTCACACACTATTCTACAGGATGAACCCAATTACAGAATAGGGATTAACAGTGGCGTTCACAAATATGTAGGTACTTACGTAATATAATTTGTGAATCTATATAAAAAAAATTAAAAACAGAACTGTCAGTTAGCTAAGAAATGTCTTTTCATTTGTATAATCTGTCAGTTGAATATATCTGGGACATGACTAACAGAATTAGAGGTATCGCACATTGTATAAATTGGAGGTTTTTTCATTATATTTGTACGCGGAGTGTTAAGACACTATTCCTAGATGACCGTCTAGGAACCCAAAAATTCAATATATGTAACAGTTGAGAGCAGGTGATGATATTGTTTATGACCTTGAATAAAAAAAAAAGAATTATATTTACGCCTTACCTCGAGACTACAAAAATTGTGAGTTACAAGCAATTCATAATAGGGTATTCCTACAGTAGGATACGTGCCTTCAAGTTTAAAATACATATATTTTAGGAAGCGCCTCTGTATGGCTTCTACTTGATTTATATGAATCTGATAGTAGGGACTCCACAAGACAGATGCATATTCCAGCCTAGATCGAACAAAAGTGAAATAAAGTAATTTCAATGTTGAAGCTTTTTCGAAGTCTTTTGTATTTCTAACTAAGAATCCATACATGCGATAAGCTGCTGTTAGAGTACTGTCAATATGTTTATTGAAAGAGAGGGATGAATCAAAACTAACACCGAGATCAGAGAATTATTGATGGTTGATACTAGTCTAAACAAATTCAAACGTTGTTCATTCGATATCCCAAAAACCTCAGTCTTTCTGCCCATTGGCAGTCAATAGTTCGACGTTTTAATTATTCATCAAAAATTATTTCAATGCAAATATCTAGAATCGAATAAATCGCAGTAGGTATTCAGTGAAGTGGTGTTTCGAGACAAATGAGTGTCATAAGTACACCAGAATAGGTATATAATTTGTAATCTTCTGCACGAAATAATAACGACGGTCCATCTTTGGATATTGGTCCATAAATTTAATCCAACAACTGTAATTAGTAATAACAGGACTTATAATCGGCAATAATCTCTATAATAAAGTTTAAGCTTCTTCACCTACCGACGCTAAGCTGGTCTTACGGTGGGTGTGGCCAAATAGGGCGGAGCCAACAACTTTTAACACCAGCTCGAGTCATAATATTATGAGTTAGTTCCTCTCCATGATTCTTTCAGAGTAGTCAACACTGTTAAAGTGGATGTTGAGTTAAACGTTCAAAAATCTTTCGACGTGTATGAACTGAGTTGAGTGACATTGAGTGATAAAAATAATAATTGTGACTTTTTCGATTTTTGTGAATGATTCGATGGTGTAGTTTCCTGAACTGTTGATACTAAACCAGCTTTCTGAGCGAAATGACTGTTACAGGAAACTTTGGAATTATGCACAGGCCTTGCTTTTCTGTTTATCCCTTTCAAGGTTAGTATGAATGCTTCACATATGGAGAAGTAAACCTCTGTCAAACATAATGTTTCCGAAACATTTATTGGTAAATGGAATCAAAAATGAACTCTTCGGTGATATTGCCTCAACAATTTTTAGCGACTAGGTACTTTCAAATGAAAAAAATATGAAGACTTTGGGATAGTACAAACTGGGCACCTTAAAACTCTTCAATGCACTATATCTATTCAAGCGTTTAGAAAAAAAAGAAATCGGTACTCAAGACAAGTATTGTCAACATTGATATTTCAGACAAATAACTATGATTTTTTAGACTTAATGATTTTGACGTTCATGAAAATGGGATTTTTAAATTTTTTTGAATTTATGTTTTCTGGAAGTAATGTCAACGTATATCCCACGTAGTACCTATATAGCTACCTACAACAAGTCAAACTGATCAAAATGTTTGCACTTTCAGAATTTTTTAAATTTAGTTTTATAAGCAAAAGCTGTCGTGTGATATGATGATTCAAGATAAAATTCTTCATTTCATGTTCTCGGGATTTTATTAAATTATTGGTCGACTCAATAAATCTAACCCTAACTATTCCCAATTTCTATTATTCACCTATATTAAGTATCTACATTATATCTAGTTATGAAACAAATTACTCAATCGCAACTTTCTTTAGAAATAAATATAAATATACTTCTCAGTGTTTTTTAGGTATATAACCTTCCACAATATGAACAATAAACAAAGCTAAATCAATAGAGAATTTGCTAAAGTGTAATAAAAGGCAAACTGAAAAGTTCATCCGGAAAAATTACTGCTATAAATTTCTCAAAATCAGCTACTTCAACCTTATTCACCATGACAGAAAATATCACTCTGATTTCAAACCTGTCTTCGAAAACTGAGATATTGTCGTTTTTTTCTATAGTTTAAGATAGTTCAGAAATTTAAGATCTCAAATGAAAACTTATTTCGAACAGAAACACTTGGTACAGAAGCGGTATCCAATAACTTTAAACAGAAACCTGAACAACAATACCAAAAATACGGAATGACAGAATATAGTTTGCATATTCGAGTATAATTATTAGGTAGTTATTTTTGACATATGTTAGGTATTTCAGCCAGATGACCCCCTGCACTTCTTGTGATTTAAGGCTTGCGACTTATGACTCAAAACTGTCATTATTTTACACCTTGTTTCTTGTATTATATAATAAAAAGGGAGATATAAGTACCTATATCACTCACCATGAATTTTATGCAACAGTTGAATTCGATTTCTTTTACGGTTATTTTACAACTATCAACAGGACAATGAGGGAAAGTTTCAATTTATTGGGACCAGAAAAGACTTCGAAAGTAAGAATCAATAAACTCGTAAAAGCTATTGTAAATCAAAAACTGTTCGTATTGCTTGGCCTACTTTCCAAGACATTTCATGATAAAGCACTTTATTGCCATTTACTAGCCCAATAGATAGATCGGTTCCTAGGTATAGACCAGAACTGACTAAAAAAATCAGTTACCTCGACTGCAATAAAAAACGTGTTGATTTTTACTACATTTTTGAAATAACCAGAAGTTTTTGGAAATCCAGTTAAACTTTATAGATATCTATTCAAGATTTGTTGGTCATTCCATTCAAGATAAACATAATTATATCGAGCCTAATGTATTAATCATATTTCCACATGGAGAGTGTTTTTGAAAACAGTTATCAACTTCTCGAAATAACAACATATCATGAGTTTAAGGTTGATAGTAGGTATCTACGGATAAAAAAACAAAAAATAATATTCAAAACATCACACGTTAAAAGGTAAGACCTCGTTAATCCTTAGCTCACACAAGTTTCGAATTCTGAGGGTTGTCGTTCGTAGGGGTGCGACAGCTGGTTAACGGAAAAACATATTTGAAACAGACAGATTTACCAGTGATTGTACATTATGTCTTTCATATATTTCCTGATTTTGAAATAGATTATTTTGTGAATAATTACCTATATTCTGTATTGTGAAGTAAACACTTTTTGTCTTTTACATTTTCTGTTTTTCTTTTTCACGATCATCCAAGGTTACTAGAGATTATCTCGTACCATTCACCCATACAACTAAGGAGATATTGAACTTGTTGAGAGAAAACTGATTTTCCTAAATGCATCCTATTGCTTTGTTAAGAAGTTAAAATATCTCTTGACTGCAATATAGATTCTCAATTTTAAGAATTATTTTAAAATATCCAAACCTAAATTTTAAAAAATTGAGCCGCTACCACCCCAATATAGGTATATACTTCATTATATTTATCATAGGTATATACGAGTTCGTATATACGTTCTGTATTGACGGCTTAATCCTTTGGCCTACTACTACCATTTCATGTAATATAAAATTCTCAAATTTGGCAATCGGTAACCAAGATAGTTTTTGTTATTTCTGAAGGAAACTGAATAACAATAGGAACAGATAAAAAAGAAAAGGAGCATTGAGTATAGAAAATATTCTACGATGTTGTTATTTCTATCTGAATTTGAAAAAAATAAATATTGGAGTCTGATAGAAATTCATTGCCTTCCTTACAAACTTCATTCAATAAACCTTCTAGGTGATTAGAATGCCACCACAAAATATGGTTCCTTTGTGTCCTCACAATATATCAGTTGTACCTAATAATTATCACATAATCCGTCGAATCATACCAAAATTTATGATTGGCTGAAGAGTCATAAAATTAAATTTGAAGTCATGTTACGGTGACCAATAGAATGTAGCGATGAGTACCGCAGTTGTGCCGTCAATGTTCAGTTCAGCAACTGATCGCGATTTGAGTGTTGAAATTCGATGTTGGTGAAGTTATAATCACTTAAAATTTTTGTTATTTGTTCAAAATATGGCGTCCTTGGACAAGTACTAATAATAATAACGAGTATGATACAAGCCTGTGTAGTGATTCCAATAGCGCTGGTGAACAATGCGAAAAAGAGATACCAGTGAATAAGATTTGGATACATTTGGATTCAACTTTCTGTTGAATTTTAAGATTCTTACTGACTGCCAGCACGGTTTTCGTAAAGGCGAGTCCACACAGTCAGCTGCCTGTAGTTTTGCTGAAATCATCTATAACTCCCTAGATAATGGTATGCACGTGGCAGGAATATTTTTTGCCCTCTCACGTGCATTTGACTGTCTATCTTATGACTTTATTGAAACCTAACTTCCTAATATAAGATTTAGGGGTGTATTTTTACAATGGCTCAAACATTTTTTTCAGACCGTACCGTGGTAAAAATAAAAGATACACTATCTGATCATCAACCAATCAGTTCAGGAGTTCCTCAAGGCTATGTCCTGGGACCGCTTATCTTTCTATTATTCGTCAATGATCTACCCAAATACTTCAACATCAACAACAATAGTCTCACTCTCTTTGCTGACGATATACAATAGGAACAGATAAAAAAGAAAAGGAGCATTGAGTATAGAAAATATTCTACGATGTGGGAAAACACCTACCCAAAAAAGTTATTTCTATCTGAATTTGAAAAAATAAATATTGGAGTCTGATAGAAATTCATTGCCTTCCTTACAAACTTCATTCAACAAACCTTCTAGATGATTAGAATGCCACCACAAAATATGGTTCCTTTGTGTCCTCACAATATATCACTTGTAATAATTATCACATAATCCGTCGAATCATACCAAAAAAACTGTTTAGAGAAATCTGTAGAAAATTTTACACAAAACTCAACCCAAAATATATGTGGATGAAATCCATTGAAAAATGATTTTTCTGTAAAGATAAAAACTACATCGTACATGAAAAATTTCTCCTTCGAATCCTTTCCATAAATATATTCGGTTACGCCTCTGGTACCTACAAACTAATGGGAGGCTGAGCTAAGCAAAAGCTCCACAAACCCATGGTATGATATAAGATTCATTCGTAAATCAGTAATACTCGTTCTACAACACATCTAAAAAAGGCCCAATTTCCCAATCTTTACCCGTATTAGGAATCACAGGTTAAAACATAAGACATCGTTAGTCCTTAGCTCGCACAAGTTTCTCAANCCTCTATTTATAAAACTATTGAAGTGGGAAGGTTAATCCCAAAAATTGTAATTGTCGCTTTCTGTACTACATGCACAATGAAAAATGTGAATGAAAGAATCGATAAACAACAGTTTTATCAGAACAAGTTCGACAATATATCTATATACTCAATTTTGAAACCAGAAAGTTCAATTATGAAAACTTTTTGTCATATTTTTTATACCTCATCAAACTGAAAATTGGAAAGAATTTTCAGATTTTCTGAGTGAATTTTCATAAGAACACTATGGACTGTAATGTCAAAGATTCAGTGATTTCCACCGAAACTTTTTATATATGAAAATCGGTGTGCGGTTCTTTTTTCTCTTTATGATATTAATCTTCGTGCAATTCAGAAAATCCAGTGACAATTAACTTCTATTTTTGTATGCATTAGTCATCAATGAGCTTATCATTATTTATAGGATATAATAATATAATTTTTGGTGTTTTCGTGACTACCTACATTAACCGATTACGCAATAATTGTTTTTTATGACGATTAGTTTTTCCTGCATGATTCCCGCAAGGTCATGGTGACTTTAGAGCCAAAATGAGCGTGAGACAAAAAAGATAAGTTCAAAGTTTCGCTAATTTTCAATTCTTGTAAAAATTACACTTTGTATATAGTCCTTACTAGAAATTTCTAAACAGTTCTACTTGTCCTTGTTATTATTTTCTGACAAGGTGCTGGTGGTGGAAGAATGGAGAGAATCTGCAAAGAGCACTGGCCAAAAAGGAAGATGTTGAAAAGTGATAGATGTTCAAATTTAATATATGCTTGGAAATATCGATTCCAAAATATCACGTACCATGATAATGATATAAGAATTAATATTTTTCCATTATGAAATACAGAGACAAGTTTAAACATATTTTTCTGGGTCATTATGTACCAAATAATCCAATCAAGTAGGGCGATGACGTAAGAAATCCATTGAATTCATAGTACATATACATTTTTGTTTTTGCATTAGCTTATTCTCCAAAAAATATTCTAATATGTGATTGGTTTTGCCCTTTCCAGAACTGAAGTAAATATATTATCACTGTTCTTTTCTGAATATATTACCAACTTCAACCAATATTTTCTTATTCAGTTTCATTTTTCTCGTGATTTATGAAATCAATATTTGTTTACAGGACAGGGCCGAGTTAATCAACTGGGAGGAGTTTTTATAAACGGAAGGCCACTTCCGAACCAAAAAAGGAGAGAAATAGTAGAAATGGCAGCTGCTGGAGTACGGCCCTGTGTGATTTCTAGACAACTGAGAGTGTCCCATGGTTGTGTTAGCAAAATTTTAAATAGATACCAGGTGAGAGATTATTTTGATATGCATATGAAAAATTGTGAATATAGACATATACCTTATTGTCCAAGAAAATACAATCTTATTGACAAAGCTTGTTAATAAATCTAGTATGTATAGCACTTCAAAGAATAAAAGAAAAGAAACAATTCAAAAACATAAATACCCAGAAATACAGTTGAGCAAAACTGAGTTCACATATCTGATAGATAAAATATAACAACACAAAATCAAATTTAACAAAGTTTGTAGACAAAATAGTTTGTATAGTCCCTTTCAAAAAATGTAAAAAACAAATATACACAATTTGAATAATCGTCTATGAACCATTTTCAATTATCTGCCAGAAAACATATAAAATTTCATATTGCATGACTTTCGACAAAAAGTCGTATATTAAAAATATTCAATTATCATTCAATAATAAGTCGTGATTTGTTTAGTTGTTTTTCGTTAATAGAAAGTGGTACTTTACATAAAAAGACAGGGAAATCTTCCATAGTGCACCAGGTATTGTTAAGGTTAGGTTAGGTCCAAAGTGAGAGGGTCTATTCGACCCTCCACCGCAACCCGCAAGAGTTTATTGTGGCTCACAAATATTCACACTCGACCAAATAAACCCAGCTTCTTAACGACGCCGATTAGTTTGTGTGGTGAGTGGTCTTTCAGGTCAAGTGGTAAGAGTACGGCCGAACTCTAAAAACCTGATTCGGTCCCCAGCGGGGCAGGCTCTGCTGTTTCATCATTTTCCAAACAGAGGCGACACACACTGCCATTCGACAGTCCGAGTCTCTGCATATGATGATTCAAATGTTAGACATCATAGTTCATCCCTACTGCAGTTCAACAACTGTTTGGTATCAAGCTTCGAGGGGTGAATAAACGCCTTGGAGTGAGCCAATCCTGGAAGATTCTGCCAGAAGTCCATAAATCTTCTTGCCATCCAGGTGTTCAATGTTTGTTTGGAAAAGCCTAAAGCGATGCCAATGACAGGTTCTGGCCCGATGAAGCTGCTTGCAGTACCTTCCATTGCAAAGGAGTCAGCAGCCTCATTGCCTCCCATGCCAGTATGGCCAGAAATCCAGACCAGAGACAATCTATTAAGTCTTCCTATCAAGGAGATTCTTTTTTGGCAATTTGCTACCAATTTGGACGTTGCTCGGTAGGAACCAAGAGCTTCCAACGTCGCTTGATTGTCCGAGAATATTTTTATTGACTTGTGTATGAGGTTGGATTCTGCCAATCTCTCCGCACACAATTCAATAGCGTAAATTTCCGCTTGAAATACAATCGCATAGGTTCCTAGGCAGATTGATATCTCTATCTCGGGTCTGCGTCTGAAAACCCCTGCACCAGAACCTGAAGGTGTTTCTGATCTATCTGTGAACTAACAACTATCTGCTCTTAATATTTCCTTCTGCCGGAGGATCCAGTCTTCTCTACTTGGGAACAGTACTTCATAAGACAGTTCATATTTTGACAGTTGGATGCATAAAGTCAGAGGTCATCCCCAGAATGCTGTGACTTCCAGTGTCAACCAACAGTCTGTTGCAGTCTGCATCAAATTGAGTGGTGCAATTGGCAATGTGCACAAGTCTTTATGCAATCTATCTAGCCTTTCTCTCCAGAAAAATGTGGAGAGAAGGTGAATCTAGAAGGATCTCCATGACCGTTGACGGCGTGGTACTAATGGCACCACTCATAGCCAGACAGGCCTGTCTTTGTAAGTCAGAGAGCTCCGCTTGGGCCGTTTTCTGTAAAGCCTTCGGACACCAGGCAATTGCACCATAAGTGATCATTGGTCTGACAATCATCACATAAATCCAATGGATTTGTTTGGGACCTAAACCCCAAGTTTCACCACAAATCCTAGTTTATTTTTTGTGAATGATACCCCTCTTCGTAATTTCAACAACTCTATATAGTGAAATATTATTTTTTTGAAGTGTGTACGTGTGAAAGCAATGAACATTCATCCGACTGAGATTTCAGCCGTTTTAAGGCAAGTCTGTTCAATCTTATACCACACAATCAGGAAACCAATTTTCACACAGAATTTTTGGGAGTTCAAATAATAAATCTCGATGTTTTGTCACTGTTTTCTTTTCTTTTCGGACGCATGAGGAATAATACCTTACTATGATGGACTTTAATATTATGACAGCTTGCCCGTGGTCAAATTAGTTGACTTCTCTTCTTTTTTTTCCTATTATGGAAAAATGAGACTGCGTGTGCTGACAACAAATATCAGAGCAGCAGGTCCTAAATCTGAATTGCTTCCAGAAACATTTATTCCTATCACGGGACTTACGTCCCGTGATAGCCGTAATGTGATAATTTTTGTTAGCTTACTTACTTTGCAGCACAGATGTGCATTTTTTGCTGAACTCTACTGAGTTCCGCTCACCTGACACTGCCTATATAAAACATAAAATCAAGTCAAGTTGTTGAAGAGAAACGGTTCACCGTTTTTCATGGTCATATACCATGCAGGGAAGGGGATGTGACCATGATGACTTTACAGACTTCGTTCAGAAACAACCATTCCTTATATGACAAAATGTATTCACAAGCAAAATCCTGATTTTTTTATTAGATGACAGAAGCGTTTAATTCAATATCTGATTTGTTAATTCATTTTTTTATATTTTTTGGCAATGAAGTAATATATTTCAATATCATACAGGTACTACCATAAATCACCATTGAGTGCTTTGAAATACATAAATGTTCATTATAATTATGATTGTTTTCCCGTTGCATATGGCACAGGTGTTTGTTCGCTCATAAAAAGGTCAAAAGAGTAATTAATATCAAATTTTATGTTCCACAACAAACCCATTCAACTTTACGACTTTCAAATGCCTTTTCAATGAATTTGATTAGACGCTATGTGATGGAATCGGCTGATACTTGATGAAAATTCACAACGTATTCAAGAAACACTTTATTGTGAGAATTTCACCAAACAGTTTTACAAAAACGCAACACGTGTTTTGCTACACAAGTATAGATACAGTATAGTCACGCCTGAAGAAGCTATTGAATCGCGAAACAAGTGTTGCNTGTCGTTCAAATAGGACCACCCTAAAATTTGAAAGTTTGAATATATACCTGTATTTTTTTTTATTTTTGATTTTATGATCATTAGATGAATTGTATTTTATTATCGATTATCACCTATATATAAGCAATACGTTTCTTTCTTCCTTTTATCTCCCACTTCCATTTTGGTTCTCACATCCATAGAACAGTGTGCTATAATATTTTGTAGGAGTGAATCTACCATAAAAATGCGAATCCTTGTTTGGAAAACTGAGCTCATTAAAACCTAATATGAAGTTTTTGGGAGGAGAAGTTGCAAAATCTAGAAACCTGTAATAAAAAATTCGATATGCCGTTCTTAATTTCCGAGATACTAGGGAAAAAAATTGAACATCCAATTTGCTGGTATCTGGTGATTATTAATTTACCTTATGAAGTCAATATCAGCTCATGTTCTTCAAACACATAACTTCGGGAAGTTATATAGATAACCTGGATAAACCTCTGAATAAAGCTGAAGCTGCTGAACCATCCGCCTGATTGGAAACACTTGCAACCTTGATAGTCTGGAACATCGAAGAAACGTTGGAGATTTGTCTCTCTTCTATAGATACTTTCATGGGAAGTATTCAAGTGACTTGGCACGTTTGATTCCACCAAAAGCGGTACATTCAGAAATACCTGACGAGCTGTGGCTGCTCATCGTTTCGAGGTTCAACTCAGTACACCTCGAACTTTACTGTTTAAGAACTCTTTCATTTGGAGGACTGCATTTATGTGGAATAAACTTCCTGAAAACATTTTTCCGAATGGACTTAATCTCCAGCGATTCAAATCCAATGTAAATCGCCACTTTCGCCAGGAAGTAGTGCTTGCGTTTTGTCTTTGAAAAATAACCTCGCTGATAATAGGGGATTGGGATACCAACAAATTTTGTGTGCTTTATTTATCCAAATAATGGAGTGAATGCTGAAGATGTTTTCTTGGAGAATCCATAATGGAACATAAAGAGACGTGTCATCGACCATCAGGGTCCTGATCAATATATTTATATGTTTGTCATCAAATTGTCAAAGTTGACAGGAATATCAAGGAGAGTTGAATTTCTCGAAATTAAATTGAACTTAATGATAAAAAATTTACTACAGAGATACAGATTTTCTATAAATGTATTGTGATAACTCATTGACATTTTCTTATAAATAGATTTCCAATATGTTAGTAAATAAGGAAACTAAGACCAAAAGTGAAATTTTGAAATTTAAAGTTTTCATATACCACCAAACCACCAAACCAAAAGAACTGGAGTCAATTTCTTGATAAAATTCAAGAATGCCCTAGGAGCGACTTCACCACAATTCAGTCAACTCTTTATTTCTTACACTTTACGAGATCCTCATGCACATTCTCGAATTGGGATAGTCTGTCCATCTTATTAGGAACATCGTAACCTTAGACGTAAAAAGATCTGATGAAATTATTTTTTCCATACACCAGAACAACAACACTATCTTTCGAGAAACACTGATCTATATTTCTGTATTATAAACATATAATCCATAAATGTACTCACCATCTTATTACGAATAATCGCTTTTTAATTTTCGTATTACGCCACTTGAAATTATTTTGACCAATATGTCAAGGTTAGAGAATTGTTACGACTTTTGTAGTCATATTTAGAAAGAAAAAACATTTGATAGACAAATATTCTGAATAAAAATGAAGAATCAAAAATAAAGTAGATCGTCCAGATACAAACAAAAAGAGTAATTTTCACCTTCAGATTCAGGTTTTCCAATGAAAATATTGGTAAAACTTGTCCTCAAAATCATTGGCATAGTTACAACTATGGTTCATTTAAGATCGTGTAAGAGTATACTTGTTAATTAAAACCACTTGAAATTAATCTATTCCTTGATACATATCGATGATATCTGTCATTTGCTTATAAAAAATCAACATTATGAAACTGTTGTTTCGTTATTTTCAGTTTGTTAAAGCGATACATGAATTATAATCAACAAAACGTTCAGAAATATGAAATCATTTTTCTTTTTGTATGAAATATGTCAAATGGATGAGTGATTTTTGAGATACCTATAATTCTTAGTTGAAAACCTTGGTCGATTTCATTACTTCAAAGAATATTTTAAATATAAGACAGTTCTTTGTAGAGATTACTGAATCTATAGCTACTACAACAATTGATTGTTTTCAGGAAACGGGATCGATACGACCTGGTGTTATAGGAGGTTCGAAACCACGCGTTGCCACACCTGATGTAGAAAATAGGATAGAACAGTATAAAAGAGAGAATCCATCGATTTTCAGCTGGGAAATTAAAGAAAGGCTAGTGAAAGAAGGTATATGCGATAGGAGTACGGCCCCTAGTATTTCTGCAATATCTAGACTACTTAGAGGAAGTGGGGCTGACTGTGATGGAGACGGTAAGAAAGGACACCGCACCAATTTTCACGTAAAATAAGGTTCGGGGAAAATCGCTGACTTTTTAATATTTTGTAATCCATCGAGTTATAATGAAAACTTATTTCGTACAAATCTCTGAATGCTCCTGTTCAATTATACATCGGTTTCGATTCAGTTATTTGCGTGACAAGGTACAACATACAATGAAAAGTTTTCATGATAAAACTCTCTGGTTTCAGAAATAATGAAAATGCTAAGTGTCAAAGTTAAATTTTTTGGCATGTTCATATACAATTTTTGTTTATCGATTTTTTCATTCATATTTATTGTTTTATGTATGTATAGAAAACGTCAATCAAACCTGTATCGATTTTACCCTTATAACATCAACTGTTTTATAAATACAGGGTCAGATTTTTTTAAATTTTTTTGGTTACACTCAGCGTAGAGAAGACTGAGTCTTCCGCTATTTGTTGTTGGAGGAACGGTGACCGGTAGATTGACGCGACTAGCTCAATCCACTCATCGATTCCACTCGGTTGATTTCCACTGCGTTGGACAATACAACCCGTGAAAGGAACTGTATACTACAAGAAAAAGCCTCGTTTTCTCTGAGCTTGCACATTTTTCGACTTTTGAGGGTTGTCATTCGTAGGAGGAGGGCGAAAGCAAATCAAAGAATTAAATTTTAATCACATTTTTTACATTTCTATGAGAAAATATATGTTTCTTATACCAAAACAACGATAAAAATGAAACAACAATAAAAATTAATTGGCGCTCCGGGGCGACTTCATTGATTCCAGTGGCGCATTTGCTTTTTCAGCTGTAGGAAAACCTGGAAAAACCTGCAGCACTACATCATCTGAATTAAAAATCCATAACGTATTCGAGTAACAAATTATTGTGAGATTTTCACTGAACTGTTTACAAAACTGTAACACGGATTTCGCTATACAATTGCTTTCTGTATTTGTTTGAATCATTTGTGAGTCACGTCTAAGTCTTTTTCAAAAATCGAGCGTTGACAGCAATTTGTTTAATGAAACTCGGTTAGCTCTGAAAATTACTTTCTGACAGTTTGATATTTAATAGTATGTGAAGCACACTTTTGAATGTTCATAATTTTTGCTGTTAGCAAAGGTGTAAGAAAGTTTGTCGAAAATTGCAAAATCATGTGCATGAATAAATTATAAATGACTACTGAAAATAATGATCAAATGACAACAATCCAGTTTCTGGGAAACTTGAAATATATGTATTATTCCACCCAGAACACTCTCTCAACAGAATTGCTCATTTATTTCATAACCAAAACAAAAAACTTAACATAAATTATATATTCAACTATCAATTGAAATATTCATTTCATTCTCATTAATTACATTTCATGCTCAAAGTAATGACAATTTTCAAAAAGATATTGTAACTCGTTTTCAACATTTTGAATAACTTCTGGCGAAATTAGCCTACAGCTAGGTCTCACTTATACATTATCAGACTTCGTCTTATACATTGTGCTTTTCAAGTAACCCCATAAAAAGGCAATGGGAGTGATATCTGGAGCGTTTTCCTGACCAAATTAGCGTAATTAGAAAATGATGCTAACTTGCTTAGCGAAACGCTCACCTTGAGACAGTCCTATGTGGAAAGAGTCTCTGTATTAGATTCATTTTACGCTAGTGGTTTCAGTTTTAGTTATTAAGTTATTTAATATTTCGCAAACGACACTAGAGGGAGGCACACCCAATGGCTCCAAAATTTCATCTTTTGTGATCGAGTTATATGACCAATCTTCTTTGAAGACAATTTGAATGGAGCGAGATATTACTCATTTTTGTAAAAAGACCTAGTTCCAAATTTGTTTTCTGATGGCCAAGTTGATATCCCGGATAGAAACAACTGGTTTCAACAAAATGGTGCACTTCTCATTTCCGTTCATAATTTTCTTGATGTGATATTTCCAGTCAGATTGATCTACAGGAAAAGGCCCATAAAATGGCCATTGGCATCTCCAAACCTCACCACCATGGACTTTTCATTGAGTTACTTCAAGAGCACAGTATAAAATTGATAGACGAAGCCGGTCAATGTTGAGTTTAAATGGTCAAAACGAGTTTCTCTACCATTCAGGGTGTTGTCAACACTTGAGCATGTATTAAAGAAACATAATCAATGTGAATAATATATGTTTCCTTCTTGAAGCAAAATTTTATCATTTATCTCATGAACGACCTGGAGAATCCGATTTGAAATAATAAAAATTTGGGACATGCCTACTGTATCAATATTCGTTTTATAGAAAATAGCGCAACTCAAAATAATATTATCGGCATCGACTTTATTTCCAGTTAGAGATTCGCACTGTATACTCAAACAACCCTGTGAAATCACCTTCGTCCTTTTATTAAGAACTAGCTTTTGTCCGCAACTTTGTTTGCGATGAATACAATTTTTGAATTTTCGCAGATTTTTGAACAGTTAAAAAGGTTTTCATGTATTTGCCTGTATCACATTATATTTATGAGAAAATTGTTCAACGATAAAATGAAAGTTAACCAAAGTTTCAGCCAAATCAACTGAGTTATTTTTTTCCAACAATTGTTTGATGTGTTTCTTTAAAGTGGCACTACTTTTTTATTTATGGACCAGACATTGAATGTTAAATAAAGATTACCACAATAAATTAGTGAAAACCGCTGCCAAATCAGTTGAGTCGTTTTTGAGATTAGAGAGAATAAATGCATGAATAAAAATCCTTGTTTTTGGTTCTATTACGTCAAAAAAGACCCCCAATAATGGTTTATCTAAAATATCTTCCATATACAGACAACGAATAGCTATATGCACTTTGATGTTGATTTTGAGCATATCAACATACATATACAAGAAATAAAATAAAGCCATATATCAACAGAGTTTTGACTGTTATTGTTATATTTAATCAACCAGACACTTCACTGATTTGAGCAGCTTTTTGATGGTAGCAACACATCAGATCAAATATACTGAAAATAATAACTTTTTTAATCTGTTATTATCATCTCTTGTCGACATCAAAACGGTAAGTGAAATGGTGTCTAGAAAGCATTCTACAGCATCTGTTTGAAACACAGATACATCTTGTAATTCATCATCATTCTCTTAATTCAATTTTGAATGTGTACATTTCCGTAGAAATTTTCGATTATATCCAAATGTGCAAAGTATTTCGATAAATTAAGGTAACCAGGTTCAATTCAATGCCACGAAACCCCAGGCATCGGTTTTCTCCAAAAAGATAAATGTCGCCGAACCGGATATAAAAATGTCAGGACAGACGAATCCGCTTTCTGCTTCGATAAGTTTACGGGGAATTGAAATAGACACCAATATGTCTTGGCACAATCATGTTGCTGAAATAGCAAAGGCTGCTTTTCAAAAGCTTGGAACACTATTCCGAACCAGAAAACTGTACTCACCTCAGCAACTTTCGATGCTTTATATAGGCATATCTTGTATTCTGGGTTCTGGCTCTTTTCTGGATTACATCAAGAAAAGAGCCATCTGCCTGATTGGAGACGCGAACGTCACTTGCAACCTTGATAGTCTAGAACATCGAATTCCGTCAGCAGGAATTAATGAAAAAAAACATAATGTCGGTCCACATGACCCCTGGATTCCAATTTTGAATGAAATCACATAATAATATCAAACCTCAATCATAATTATAAATATTCATGATTTCTAATCGAAAATTCTTTATATCGGACCCCACAAACCGTACAGCTTGTTCATTACTTTTGAAATTAACATTTATCATTGTTATGAATTAGTTCATTTGAAATAATTTATTTAAAATCAGTAAACCACTCGCTTTATTATAAAGCCATACATGAATAAAAATCTAGTAGGTGGTAGAAAAACTGGCCTCACTTCCATAATCATTAATAATAAATCAGATTTTCTGTAGGAACTATTTGAACAGAATACATTTTCACCTGGAATGATTTGTTTTATAGATTTATAATATCCCTCCGATTATCAACTAAACCAACCGCCACTGTTTTATGTACAACTTACTTCAAATGTAAACAAACTCTCCATAACTTATCATTACCCGCCACCCTGTCCTCGCCAAGTACAGAAAAGGATAGTCCGATACCCATTTCAAATACATGTATTGTATTAGTATAGGCATGACAACTCTATGTCTTATTATTACTCTGAGGGTGAAACAAACCATTCACGCCAACCCAACAACAACAAAATTTTTGTACAAATTTCAAAAACAATAATCTGGATAGTTTCAAAACAATCACTTTTCCCAAACAACAGAATTGCAATTTCTCGCGCGTTTCACCCAACAGGTTAGTGTCAGCGTCTTCAGTTTTCTTAACTTTCTGAAGACGCCAACTTGGTTGTTCAAAAAAATGGTCATTTCATTTCTCCAGAATAAAACAAGTTTGGTATATTTTGGTAATACGATGCAATGACTACAACATAACAAAAATTCAGTCTGTCTAACATGAACAGTTTCCCAAGATGATCCTGCGGGTTATTCTAATGAGAATCGATTCATGCACAAAACAGTCTTGAATTAAATTAAACAGAAATGTAGGTATATCGAATTCCAAGACAGATATCAACTTCCAAAGGTCATCAAGCTTAAAGTTCCACCTCAATTTGCTTCCCAACTAAAATTCAATTAGGTGGTAGGTATATATGGTGGCAGTATTTTTAATCAGTTCATTGTTAACCTTCTCATTCTCGTTCCCTCTGCTCATTTGGTATGAATGCAATGGTACACCGGAAAGAGCTGTCAAAAACATGGGAGGGAGCTGACTTTTTATATATAACTACTGAAAACGAGGTGTATGCATTCGCCAGAAGCACCGTCGAATTAGATACGGTGTTATTATCTAGATCGTTTTCAACATGTCGGACGGTGCGTGACATTCATTAATAACTTTTTCTGAAATTTTTAACTTTTCTGAATTAAAATAGAATAATTCAATGGAAACTGCATTTTGTGTTGCGT